CCACCATCGCCTGGCTTGGGTTCTGCTTTAACAGGTAAATTCACACCCAGTACGAAGCCTAAATCCCCAAACACATGTTGAGAAGTGGTGACATAGGCCATGACTTCCCTGGACTCTCCCTGTGGCACTTCTAATGCTGGCATCTTTTTGTTTGGGTGTTTCTCTTGCCAACTCTGTGTCCCAGACCGCCAAAGAACACCAAGTCCCCCAGGAAAGGATTAGAAACGATCCTGTTATGTCTCTCAGGTCTCAGGCAGGGAGGGCATGAAGCAAGATAGATGACCTGAGACCGGATCCCAGAGCCGGCTGCAGGGTTAGGGCCCAGCCCACTGTGTGCTCCAGACTGCAAAGACGAAGTTGTAGAACCAGAACCAGGGCCGGCATAGTCCACTGAGGTCTGCAGGGGACACCTGAGCCAGCAGCTGTTCTCCCTCACGCCCCTCCCTGTGACCTGGTGGTTAGGCCCTTTGTGACCCAGGCCAGGATCTGGGGGCCCCTGAGAGCCAGGGGGCGGGCAGAGTAGATGGTGAGTCTCCCCCTGGGAGCTCCCCCCCCGCGCCATGGCAAGCGTGGTGGTGAAGACAATCTGGCAGTCCAAAGAGATCCATGAGGCGGGAGACCCACCTGAGGGGGTCGAGAGCCGCGCCCAGCTGGTCCCCGAGGCTCCCGGGGGGGTGACCAGCCCTATCAAGGGGATCACGAAGAAAAAGAAGGCCGTGTCCTTCCATGGGTGGGTTTCCTGCACCCTGTTGCTCCCAGGCCTAGTGCCTGTCACGACACTGCCTGCAGCAAAGCATGGGTGCTGAAGGCAAAGGAGGGGCAAGAAGAGGGTATTACAGACCAGGGAGGAGAAGGCAGTGGGTTGAAGGGAGCATCGGGAGGAGAGGGGGAGTAATGGAAGAACGCAGGCATGGGGGCTGAGCAGAGAGTCCAGCAGGGTGACAGTAGGCGAAGGAACAGGAGGTCCGGTGGCCTCAAGAGAGTTCAGGTGCTGTGTTGACGATATAAGGCCCACCCCTCTGGCACCCCATCCCTACCATCTCCTGGGTCACCTGCAGGGTGGAGCCCCGGATGTCCCACCAGCCGATGCACTGGTGCCTGAACCTCAAGCGGTCCTCAGCCTGCACCAACGTGTCCTTGCTCAACCTGGCTGCTATGGAGCCCGACTCCTCAGGCACAGACTCCACCACTGAGGACAGTGGTCCACTGGCACTTCCAGGGCCACCTGTTTCTCCTACAACACCCTGGGCTCCAGAGGACCCTGACATCACAGAACTACTGGTGAGCAGCTGATGTGGGGAGGGCCAGGATCTACTCAATGGAGGTAGGCAGATCCAAGGAGGGGGCTCATCTAGTTTGCAATGAGAAGTTCTTGTCACTGGGACCAGAAGCCTGGCGTCAATGACATCAGGAAAACTCTCCTGGGGTAGGAGTGTAGCTCAGTGGGAGAGTGTCTCAGATGTCGCAGTGGGGGTGTGGATTCATGCTTGTCTGTGGAAACAAGATTCAGAGTCAATGAACTTGGTCATTTTGCAGCTGCAGGGGTCTTTAGCTTCAATGGACTGAAGCGCTTTCCCTACGCCCAGGGCATTTCTATTTTTTTTCTGTATTTACACTTTAGGCAGTTGACTACCTTATACTCAGAACAACTTGAATAAGGCTTCCAAAAACACAATACTATCTACAAAGTCTTGATTCACAGGTACCACAGTTTTCTGAACCAAGTTCTGCATAGGCCTTTGTAACCTTGGAAACTCTCAGACAGGGCTCACATAGGGTGACAAAAGGTTTCTCCTCAACAAAGGATGGGTTAGGGCTAGGCGCTAACTCTCTGGAGCTAGGCCAGCTGTGGTCCAGTGTGGTTAGGGCCAGTTGCTATCAATCTGGCACCAGGCTCTGTTACTGGAAGTTTTCTGTCCCAGCCTGGTTCCCCCAGCCATTAGCCCCAAATAAATACAGGGACATTATATTAGTTGGCCGATGGCTAGGCCTTCTTATTGGCTAGCTGTGTCTTAATTATTAACCCATTTCTATCAATCTATGTATCACCACAAGGCTGTGGCTTACCTGGTAATGCCCCAGTGTGGTGGTAGTCCTTCTGCAGCATGGGAACTGTGTGTGGCAGGCCCACTCTGCCTACTTTCCCAGAATTCTCCTTGTCTCCTAGACCCGCCTGTCTTCCTGCCTCATTGACCGAACAGTGTTTGGGTCATTAACCAATAAGAGAAACATATATAGAAGGACGTCCTCCATCAAGGCCCAGCAGAATTCTGCTACAGATCTCCCTTTCTTTTTACAAAAATCAATTATTTTGAAGGTTATGCAGCTTCACATTATGTACAGCTTTTTTTTCTGTCTTACAATCCTATGTAAGTAAGTCAAAACACACTTTAAAGTTGATAAAGCTGCTATTGCTAAGACAAGAGCAACACCCATTAGAATAAGAAATCTATTAAAGTAATTCATGGGGTTGAACGATGCTGTGGTATCAGCAAGACTTTCCATAACATCCATTCCTGTCGTATCAGGCAACTTGTTTGCAAACGTTTCTTTAATTTCTTTTGTAAATCATAAATCATTTGAGAAGAATTAGGGTGACCCATCAAATGCACCTTAACCATATCCCAATCACATTTGCTTTCATTAAATCTTAGGGGTGTGATGCAATAAGAAGAGACACTCCAACCACATTTTCATTTTATCTGCTCCTTCAAAATTTTGAACTGATCCCCTGACAATATAACAGCCTGCCTTAACTCAGCTAATTCATTCATGATCTCATTATCAATCTTATTTTGTTCAGTCCAAAGTTCTTTTGAATGTTTATGCCAGTCCCTAACGAACTCAGCAGTTTTAATTTCTTTATGAAATGCCAATCCATAAATCCTGTAGCCATAAATGCAATAATTGCCAAGATAACTGCAATAACAGTCCAACCATTGACCCATTTGACATGTCCTTTTTAGTATTCTTTCGGTGAGCTTCTGTACCAGGGTCATCACAGGAGAGTCTCACCATGGCCTCGACAACCTTACTGGTATCCAGAATGCTGGCCTTGCTCTAAGAATACATAAACTTTCAAAGGTTAAAATTGAAATAATACTAGAATTAACACAGGTATGAAGGGTACAGCATTCATAAGTGATGCTGTATTATTAGGATGCCACTGCATAGGCCCCTTTAGTAGCAAATAAGGAAGTGGCACACATGCCATAAAAGCATGGCTTTGATTTAGTCTAAAAGACAAAGTATGTTTATCATCCTCAATGCTTAATTTTCCTCCCACGCCTTAAGAGGGTGGAAGGCACTTGCCGATTTCCACAAGTTAGTCTGAATTCAATTGCCAGGTTGCAGGAGAGGACTTGCCATTCTAACTCCGTGCCACTGGATAGGTTCATTAACAGAAGCCCTGATTTCCACAGTAAACTATACCGTTTCCATCCTAACTCTGAGTGAGAATATCTTCCTTGAGGGGAGCCGAAAGGGCTCCAGTCTATGAGTCTCCTTGGGAGATATTAAATAGCACTGGAGGCTCCTCACTCTTACATTGCTGCCGATGCACCCAGTCAGATTCCTTGTTGGTAACCCACATCTCACAGAACAGTAGATTTATGGAACTAGTAGCATTAATCTCCTGTCCTCTAAAACCAGATGCAAGAAGCATATAAAACTTGTTACGATAATCTCGGGTAGTATTGACTAGGGATACCTACACTTGAGAGGTTATTTTAAGGCATCGAGTTTCATTTCCCATGCAAATAGGAATTCCTTGAACTCTCACAGTGTAATTCTCAATTACCCTACCCTCCTCCATTGGCTGAACAGGACCTCTGTTGTCATAAAGACCAGATAGCCACAGAGATTCATTAATCATGACAGGAATGTCCATATCTCCCAACTTATGGCTGTGTTAATTGGAGGATTGGAGATAAAAGCCCAATATGTATAGTTTGCCCCTTTTACCTGGATAATTACCACAAATAAGTATAGCAAAAAAAAAAAAACCAGATTTGTAGCTTTTAAATGTTTCTAAGGTATTCACCTCCCCTTTGTCACAAATTCTTAAGCTGTACCCAGGTGAGAGTATTCGATGTCTATTTTATTTATTATTTGTTATGTATGCAGTGTTCTGTCTGCATGTACTCCTGCTGGCCAGAAGAGGGCACCAGATCTCATTACAGATGGTTGTGAACAACCACGTGGTTGCCTGGAATTGAATTCAGGACCTCTGGAAGAGCATGTGGTGCTCTTAAACTCTGAGCTTTTAATCAGTAAGAGATTATTCTTTATGAGCTTTTACCTTAGTAGCCATATATCTGATAACCTAACAACCCACTCTGTTTCAGGTGTTACATTTTTATAGAATTTAACCAGGAATGCTTAGAAAGCAACTTAAAGAGCAGAGGCAAATTCTCAGTGATGATAAACAAAGATATAGATTAAATAATAAAATTTAAAATCATGAATTTTGTTCTTTTAGTTCTCTACTATGAAAATCAAACATTTACCTAAACATCAATTAAACAAGCAATAGAAAACATCCCCTATACAATGAATTACTAATATCTGGAAATTCAAACGGTATTTGATTTAACATTTTATTCCCTGACTGCAAATGTCCTTTGCCAGAAGCTGGGCTTGTTAAAACTCCTTGTTTCTCCCGTGACGGGAGAAATGATACTGATAATGAGTTATTCCCATTATTGGGGAAAAACATTTCCCACGACACAACCTTAATATTCAGTTATTCCCGCTCTGGGGGAAAAATAATAACAAAATTTTAACCAAATTAAGCAAAATTCAAAGCTCTGGGCCGCTGCCCTCTGTCAGACCCCGCCTGTTGATTCTGTGTAGAGACACTGCTCTGTGCTGGAGGTGCAGCCAGCCAGCCAGAGCTCTGAGTTTTAACTATCTTCAGTTTCTTACATCACAAAGAGCCTTTTTTTCCCTCCGTATCTACTGGGAAGAGGCTTTTTCTTTCCTTTATTTTTATTTCACGGGGCCTTGTAATTTTTAGGCCATGATTCAATATTTTCCCCCCTTTTACTGGGAAAATCCTTGTTTTGTGAAGGAAATTTCCTCTTATTTCCTTCCCTTCCCTCTTCTCTATTGGGAAGATATCCTTTTGTTCCCTTTTCTCCACTGGGAAGTTTCCTTTTTCCCTTTTTTAATTCTTTGTCTCGATCCACTTTTTTTTTTTTTTTTTAATGTGCAGTAACCTTTCAGTCTTTTTGTTTTGTTTTGTTTTGTTTTTTTTTTTTTTGTTTTTTCGAGACCGGGTTTCTCTGTGGCTTTGGAGGCTGTCCTGGGGCTAGCTCTTGTACACCAGGATGGTCTCGAACTCAGAGATCCACCTGCCTCTGCCTCCCAAGTGCTGGGATTAAAGGCGTGCGCCACCAACGCCCGGCTCCTTTCAGTCTTTCTTAATTCTAAATCTATTTCATTTGATAAAGGAGGAGGAGAGTCATCTCCAGGTCCTAGCTTTCCTCACTTCCGTTGCCCCCTGAAACAGCAATTCCTATCAACTGGGAAGGAACCTTCTCCTCTGCTGACTGAATATTTCTAGCTGAGTGTCTTCCTGTTCTATTTCACACACAGCTTTAAGTGACTCCCCACTCTGCAACGGCTCCAGAGCATTTGAAATGAAATTACATAAAGACCAATGTTTAATGGTGTGGCTCTCCTCTCTGATGAACTCTCCTCAAAGCTCTCATAACTTGCTTCCATGCCTTCAGTTTCAGCTGATCATGGAGTCATCTGAAACCTTTGCAATGCCATTTGGTTAATACTCAAGCTCTGGGAGCTGTTTTTCCTTCATCTTCACCCCTTTAGCAGGTATTTTAATAACTGCATTTACTGCTGCTCCTGAGGTGAGGCGTCCCATGTCCCTGCCCATCCTGGGGTCCCCTTACCCTGAGGGCCCTTGTCCTGCAGTTCTTAAACTGGCTGGGTCCTCTGTCGTCCTTCAGCAGATCCCTTGTTCTCTTCAAACTTCATGCTGGTTAGAGCATTTGACCAGCAAGTGCAAAGCAAGCCCTGGGGTTCATCCTAAGCAACACAAAGAATACACTGGGCCATGCCCAGCCCCTCACAGGGAGGATTCTAGACAGAGATGTGCCCTTGATACCTAGCACTGTACTTTTTGAGACAGGGTATTGATCCTAAGTCTAATCTGGCCTTGAACCTGCAGTCCTCCTGCCTTCCAAGTAGCTGGGATGAGAGGCCTGAGCCCACACACACAGCTTCCAGTAAATATTCCCCTGAAAGCTCAAGATGTCAGG